AGGGCCCCTTCCAGGAGCGCGCGAGGGACATCTACACCCGCCTCCGCAAGAACCTCGTCGACACCGTCTTCGAGAGCTGGCAGGAGACCGGTTTCGCCTGGGAGCAGTACGATCCCGCGACGGGCAAGGGCCAGCGCACGCAGCACTTTACCGGCTGGACGAGCCTCGTCGTCAAGATTATGGCCATGGAGGACCTCAGCAAGGGTGGCCGGGCCAAGGACGAGCTCTGAACCGCCGGGTGGTTTGCTCCGGCATGTGTGTAGATGCGGCCGAAATGCGCGGAGGCTGGCTGTACGTGAAAAAGCATTGCCTTGTTGATAGAGCGCGCACGCGCACATGATGATAGAGCCCTAGCAATGGCGAGTTCCAGCACTTGCTCGTCCGAACGGCGAAGCCCGATTCCAATGGAACGGCGATGCACAGCGGTCCAATGGAACGGCGATGCACAGCGGTCCAACGACGGCGATGCACAACGGTCCAACGACGGCGATGCACAGCGGTCCAACGACGGCGATGCATCACCGCGTTCCCACCGCTGATGACATGTTCCGCTGCAACAGTGCAGTCAGTCTCCAGGCACCCAACGTCCCATTACTCAGCCCAGCGCACGCAGAAATACACACACACACACACTCCTACCTATGAACAGAACCCCCGGCCCAACCATTCCCCCGAGGTCGCGCTCTTCGTTCTCACGACATCCGCGGTGCCGCGCCAGGGCTGGCCCCATTGCTGCGGACAAGTCCGCGCCGCACGCGGCCGTCCAACGCTGGATCCCTTCGGCGAGCCGAATCAGGCAGCCCTACCGGGTGACGAACGTGGGGCGCCCCATCTATACCCACGGTACGGTACGACCTCGCATCTCGGTAGCCAGCTGGGTCCGTTGCAGGATGAACCGCAAGGCTACATGGTGTCCCTAAGAAGAGCAGGAAAATAGAAACAGCCGTGTTGCCTTTTTCTTTTCTCAGCCCGCCTCATGTGTCACCTCCCCCCTTCCGCTTTCTTGCAGAGTCACATCGCGCGCATATGATTGTACGGGAAGGGGGGAAGGGGGGGGCCAAAATTATCACGGACTTCATTACAATGTCCTGCGCGCGCGTTGAGAGGTGAGCTAGCTGCTACGTCATAAAGGCGGAGTTTTGGGAACGCGGCGCAGAGGTGCGGACCGCGTATTTGTGGGAAGGGGAGGGGGGGGGGTTCAGGTAGGGTTGGTTGGGCTGGTGAGCGCCTGTTGTCATGTGTGCTGAGTGAGTTGATGAAGTAAGGCCCAGGATTGATTTGAAATGAGGAGCATGAAGATGGGGGTTTCGTCACAACACCTTTCCGATATGTCGGGGTTTGATCTCGGCTTTCGAGCATACACAAATCCGGACGCCTCGGGGCAAGAGAGGGATGGAGGGTCGCGGAATGCGTGCCGCGAGCGAGGCGAGACGGGTGCGCGCGTTGGAAGGGGGGAAAAGGGAGGGGGGGGGTTAGTGGGAGTGAGAAACAGAGGAGGGAGAACACATGACACGGCACGCGATGCGCTGGGACGCGAAAAGAGGGTGTGCTGTTGGCGGGCGCCTGAGTCAAATTGTCATCCTCCCGGGGCCACGTCCATGTTGTCGGGGCCGCACTCCCAGATCCTCGGAATCGGTCGCCAGTTGGAAGCCTGAACCATGTTGCCCCCTGCCTAGATGCCATGACAGACAGGGGGTGACCTTTCTACCTTACTCACCTTGGAGGGATGTTTCGGTGGGGGGGAGGGCAGAGAAGAGGGAGGGCAGAGAAAGGGGAGGGGAGGATGGGGGAGTTTTGGGCACAGGGTGGTCAGCAGCAGCGGGATTGGTTGTATGCTAATCGGGCCTGCCAAGCTGGGCGCTTCCGAAGATAATTGGACCTCTACGCCTGGCGCTTAGCGAGGGTTGGTGGTGAGACGACATATTTCGGTGCCTTCAGGTCTTGCGAAGGGCGTGGTCTTGTCAGACGGGAGATGGGAGTGGTGCGGCAGGGCACCTTGGCGAGGAGAATGAGGTCTTCCACGTGGCGCGGAGCCGCAAACGGAATAGAATGCCAGAGTCGAGACGACAGCTTCTGCTTTTGCTTGGAAATCCGCAGATCAGATGGACCAATGCTGCATTCGCAAACCAATGGACCTTGACAGTTGAAAATACGCGGCATGCTTGACCTAGGGCGGCGGCTAAAGATAGTCGGAAGAACACAAGGCTGTCTGTTCATGTGGGATGATGCGCTCGCTTCTTGACACCAAAACGACGACTCGCCAGACGTGGTAACGAAGCAATCACACGCAAGGGCAACTCCAAGCTCAAGATGGCTGAGCTTGTGGGTAAGCACCGCAAACAGAGATGATTGGAAACACCACTCATCCGAGATTCGCAGTCACCTCGAGTGTGGTCGATCTGTCGTTTGATTGGAGAGCTTGCGCGATGCCGTCTGACGTCCCAGCCGCCGCTGTAGGCATGGATATTGCGGTATGGTGGAGCCTGGACGATGTATACGAGTATAAGGTAGGCTTTGTTGGGGGTGGCAGTCTGTAGTCGAATTAAGGAGCTGTAAGGCTGGTGGAAACGGCCCCTAGCGCTCCTCCGGCGCTTGTCGAGCGGGAGCCAGCGGAGCCGAAGCGCTGGTGCCGCGCTGCGCTTCAGCGCTACTTGCCTACCCACCTTACTTGGTAGGTACCTACCTACCTAGGTACCTGGTGAGGCAGAGGCAGAGGCAGAGGCAGGCAAGCCAGGTGGGAAGGCCCAGCGCACCTCCCCACCGGTTTCAGTGGTCGACCCTGCTAAAGCGGCCGTGTGGTGGGGTCTCGCTTCTGTCCTGCCCTGCCCTGCCCTGGTCCTCGAGCTGGGTCCTGCTCCGCCTACCGGCTCAGGTCCATTCCGCTGTGTGGTGCTTACTGCACTCACAGCAAGAACCGAGATCTCGCTCGCTTTCCCTTGTCCCCTCCATGCTCATTCATCCAAGACTACATCTCCATCTCACGCCAAGCCCGCCGTCTTCTCCATCGTCGCTTGGGACCCTGTATCTCGCGCGAACCATCCCACCCGACATCCCGCGCTGTCCTCACGGCTGCCTGCGCGGGCCACATCACCTGCTTGCCCAATATAGTGTCACCTGTCGCGACTAGGTAGGGGACGGTTAGTCCCTGAAAGGCAAGGAAGTTAGCGTATCCGTCTCCCGACACTCTCCACCTCGTGGGTGCCAGTACGCGCAAAGCAACAGAGGAGCGTAGGGGGGACGCTCCACGACCCACCCCGCATGCCCTGTGTCGGAGGAGCCCCATCTGCTCTCTGCGAGCTGAGCGCCGTACGTCTTGGGCTGCCTCTTTCCAACCAGACAAGTCAGGGGATGCAAAGGCCATTCTGACGGTCACATTTCCGACTTCCCGAATCGTGAGGCCCACGCCGCCGGCGAAGACCGAGCCATGTCGTCAAGTTGCAGGCCGTCACGAGCAAGTGCACAGTCAGAACACAGACCAACCCGGATTTAGGTCCGTGGCAAGACGAAACGCAACGAAACTAAACGGAAGACGACGAAACATATGGCCCAGTCACGCGGGCGCAGGCGGGTGAGATGACTGGGCTGCCTGGGCCTCGCTATGTCATCAATAGACCACCACGGGCCATGCAACCCCCCGAGTTTCTCCGGTGCATTCGGCCATGGCACGCAACGGTGTCGCCGTATGCTTCGTCGTATGCTTCGCCGTATGCTTCGTCGTATGCTTCGTCGTAGGCTCGTCGTATGCTTCGTCGTACCGGCATTCAAATGCATTCACCGACCTGTCCGTGTCATCTCTCTAGTGTCCTGGGTGCCGAAACAAGCGCCATGTGGGCTCTGATACGACCATCGTTGACCAGACCCCAATGACAAATATCGACTCCTCACTAGGCAGCACCTTCTACTGTAGCGACCTGTCAACTACTCGGCCATAGGGGTTTAGCTATCATCGACCGACGGTCATACTCTTCCACGGCACTGCCATCCTTCGGCCTGGAGTCATCCGGGGGGCAGGGGATTGCGCATGTGGCAAACTGCATTGCATCTACCGCACTGCCAATGCCAGGCGGCAATGCCAGGCACTGGAACGACACTGGGAAGGCATAATCAGGACACCGGACGCTGGAAACGGGAACCAGCACTTGGCGCTTGTCCTCGTTCTCTGGGAGCTGCACCACTTGGTACTAGGCGTAAGCCACGGTCTTTTCTTGTCTTCTGCCACACGTGCTACTCGGCGTCGAGGCCCTTACTCATCCCCTCTCCTCTTTCGTACACGAATTTGTACCCACCATCCAAGCACATCACCGGTGCACAGCCCGGCCACACGCACGATCGTGCGACTAGAAGGGCAGCCTACTTGTACATTGCATGCCGACCAGGGCACGGTACGATGGGGGGTGGCTGGCTGGTGCTTACGTTACATGTCCTCTGACGAGATACTTGGTCTACCGTCGAGTACCCTTTCCATCCACTTCAGCCTTATGGAGTTGTACAGAGCTTGGCTGGGTCCGTCCATGATTGGGTGCTTGGGTCGTTTCCAGAGAGATTCCATGCAGGGCCTGCAGCGACCGCCTGTCACCTCCCCCGTCGCTGGGTCTCTGGGCGCTGGCAGGGCATACTGACAATCTGGTCTCTTGGTGTCGTCCCGAAATTCGTCTCGAGACCCCCATCTCTGTTCGTCACCCATTCATACCCTGGATCACACCCCTGGCAACCTAGCCTACTGCCGCACCACGCACAGCACATGCCCATGTCCACGCACACCCTACACCCTCCGAGAATGCGGTTTACGATCAACTGCCTGTGGATGCCGGACCCGTCCGGACTTGACCTCAGGCCTTGGCCAGACAGAAGCAGCCGGTTGGTACACAGACCGAGAGCTGAGGGCCCAAGAGACATCGAGCCTCAAGTGAGGTACTGCTGCCCACTGCCATCCGCCTGCGCATATTCTTGTATTCCCGTCCTCCAGTCACCTCTTTGCGGAATCCGCAATCGTGTGAGCCATGCCTTTTCCGTCGTGTCCCCCTGACCCTCCGCCTCCCGTTGAGGCGGAGGGCCATCCTCTGCGTCCCAAGATACCAGCCGGTCCAGTCGCAGCCCGCAGGACTGTCACCTACCCTCGAGACGTCATGGGCAGGTCAGCCAGACTTGCCTTTGATTTCTATATAAGACTTCGGTCCAGTGCCCCCTGATGAGGAAAGAAAGTTTACAATCACCATCAGCTTCACATTCTCCTCGATACAACACAGCAGTCTTGCATTCATAAGCCGTTGCAGTTCTCGAGCCTCCTCCACCAGCCTACAAATCTTTCTCTCACCATTCATCTACCTGCTTGTACTGTTTCATATCAAAAGCCACCATACAGTTACTATCCTCCATATCATCACGATCTTTGTTCAAGTCACCTTTACATCATCACAATGGCCGGCTACACATTTGAGTTTGCTCCCACCGCTGCGCCGTTCGGCCGCTCGGGCTACAACAAGGGCGATGACGACGACGAGGGCCAGAACAAGGGCCGCTCGGGTTACAACAAGGGCGACGACGAAGACGATGAAGGCCAGAACAAGGGTCGTTCGGGCTACAACAAGAGTGGCGACGACGAGGATGACAAATGAGGAGCCTCTCCCCACCGACAAGTCCCACCGTCCGCCCCCCCCCCCCCACCACTGTCCCTTTTCTCGCCCGCCACCCTATCTCAGGGCTGGCCTTGTCGTTGAGCGCCCGTGTCTCAGATCGACGGTCAGATGTGGGGTGGGGCAGCAGGGACGCTGCCGTTCGACCGTGGGCCCGGTAAGCGGGAAGCGGGCCGGGCATGGAAGGGGGGTTTGGCAAAAGCCCTGAGCCAGCCAGGCGGCGCCCGCGGCCGCTCCTGCGTGGCAAGGGCGGGAGGCGGTCTGGACGACGATACACGGTGTTGCGCCCCTGATAGAAAAGGGGTGTGTGGAGGACAACGACGAAAGAGAACCAGCCAGGCATGTCGTCGATCTTCCACAAGGTCGCGAGCTTGTATGAGTACGCGGATCGGCATTCCAAGAGTGGGAGGCTCACGCCGGGAATTTCTCAGGTTGCATGTTATAGTACAGGGTAGATACACGGGCGGGTGGAAACTGGTGTTTGATTTTCCTCGGAAAGACTGCGCGTGCTTTCAAGATTTGGTGGCGCTTAGGGGTAGTGCTTAGGTAGACAGAACGGAGTAGCAACAGGTCTGCAAGGGCTCTCAATTTCAGTCCGTCTCTCATGCCTCGAGCCCAGAGCTTCCTCGTCATACCATTGGTGCTTTCTGTCTTCCGTCACGGCCACTTGCTCACCGGCCATGTCTTTCCGGTGTGCGCAGCCATCATGGTTCTAGCCGGCCGTTTTCACACATGGTCGCGGCTTACACCGACTGATTCCCAGGGTGGTGGTGAGAAGGGTGGGTGGGTATCGAACATGGTATCCAACGACGCGGGACGCTCTTCGGCCCTTTTTTTCTCTCTCTCTCTCTCTCTCTTTCTTCCCAAATACACATTGAGCCTCATCGGCCGCCGGGAGAACGGGGGGACGCTGACGGCGGACTACCCTGCAACGACACGCATCTAGGCCCTCTCTGCTTTCTCCGACGGCAGAAGCCAAGCCACTAGCTCGGGTGGCACGCGAGGGCGATACACGTACACCGGTCTGCCGGGCACTCACGCTACGGGATGGAGTCGGGACCGTGGTCTCATTTGCCGACGCAGAACCTGGACGGGAGGGGGGAGGGATCACATGTCAGTCATCACGAAGTATACGGAACCAGCATTGGCGACGACGAGATGGACAAGGGAGCAGAGCTCGGGTGTCAGGAGATGCAGGAGGGGTGCAAAAGGGGAAGCGGTGAGAGATGGGCAGGATCAAGGGGAGCGGGAGGAAAAGAGAACAACTCACTTCTCAAAGATGACACCCAGCACCTCCTCGACATCGCCCCCCTCGCCGCGGCCAGTGATCTTGGCCAGACACTCGGCCGCGTACCGCAGGTGCTCCGCCGCGAGCACGACGTCGGGGTCCTGCTGGTCGCCCGCCTCGGCGATGGCCATGTACTCGTCGAGCCAGGCGCCGCACTGGTCCAGCAGCTGCCTCTGGCGCGCCGTGACGCCCAGCATGTCCTGCATCTCGACGGGCAGGCTCGTCATGTCGCCAAAGAGGCCGGCGAGCGTGTCGATGAAGGGGTCGACGCCGCCGTTGCTGGTGGTGCTGTGAGTTCCGCGAGAGGTGGCGTCCTGCGCCTCCCTGCACGATATGGCGAGCGTGGGCACGTCGCGTAGCGCGGGGGTGGCCCGGCTTATCTCGGCGTGGAATGTCTCGAGCAGGGATGAGAAAGTGGCGGCATCGACAGCGTCCCGCTTGTTGACGACGAGGATCGCTGCCTGGGCCTGCGCGGCGAGCTCGACCGTCTCCGCATCGTAGACAATGGCATGGCCGTCAGGGGTCGGCTCAACGGCGGCCAGCACGACGACAATGTGCGAGTCGAGCGCCTTCTGCTTGGCGCGGCGGATGCCCTCCCTCTCCACGGCGCCTACAGATCCCCCACTCTCGAGGCTCGCCTCACCCCTGAATCCAGCCGTATCGGCAAAGAGGCAGAGAAATCCGCGGATGTCGAGACTCGCCTCGACAATATCCCTCGTGGTGCCCGCCTCGCCCGACACGATGGACGCCTCGCGGCCAATGACGAGGTTCATGAGCGAGCTCTTGCCCACGTTCGGGGGTCCCAGCAGGGCGATGCGGATACCGCTCCTCAGAAGCTCGCTCGGCGCTCCGGCGGCCTCGTGCCTGCGGATGCCCTCGAGGATCTCGACGACAAGCCCGCTGACGTTGCGCAGCAGCTCGGCGGGGGACTCGTCAAAGTGCTGGTCCTCCGAAAAGTCGATCAAGGCCTCGAGCTCGGCGCGCGCTGCCAGCAGCGTCGCGCGCCATTCCTCGTAGGTGTGGCCCAGGGCGCCAGACGAGCCCCTGACGGCGGCCAGGCGCTGCTGCTCCGTGTCGGCGGCCAGGATGTCGCCCAGGCTCTCGACCTGCGTGAGATCGAGGCGGTCGTTGAGGAAGGCGCGGCGCGTGAACTCGCCCGGCTCAGCGTAGCGGACGACGGCCACCGAGGGACTGGCGCACCTTGGAATGGCGGCGAGGACGGCCTTGACGGTGGCCTGGCCGCCGTGCACATGGAGCTCGAGGACGTCATCGCCTGTGACGGTCCTGGGGCCGGCAAAGTAGAGGATCAGGGCGCTGGGGTCGAGGACGTTGGCCGTTGGTGGCGCGCTGGGGTCGTAGAGGGTGCGCACCGTGGCTTGGCGAGGTGGAGGGAGGGCTCTGGACGGACAGAGCTGGCGATAGATCTGGGACGAGCGGTCAGCTGTCTGGTGATCTGACGTCCCAAGGCATCAAGAATACGTACATCCAGACAGGCCGGGCCTGAGATGCGAATGACCGCGATGCCGGCACGGCCTGGTGCTGTGGACAGGGCGTAGATGGTGTCCTCGGTGAAGGCCGACTCGACCCGAGTCGTCATCAACCGTGTCCCTGCGCTCCGCCACCGTCTACACGACGCAGTGGAGCGGTGGTTCTCGAGAGAGGCTGGGGCTGGGGCTGACAAGACGCGCGCTGCATAGCTTGTTGTGCCGCAGCTCAAGCTGCAGGTGTTGGTGTAGATGCAGCTGCTGACGTGACGCCACGGCTGTGAAGACGGAGTCCGCGTCCGGCCGAGACGCAGCACCGGCCGAGCGACGGGGAGCATTGGCTGTGAATGAGGTACGGGAGCGCGCTATGAGATGCCGAAGGACGGTGATGAACACATGTTGGACTGGGGAAGATGAGGCATGTCAAATGACAGGAGGAAAAGGAGAGGTTCGTGATGGCGAGGTTGAACTGGCTTAGATGCATCACCTCGATTGAGCGGCAGAGAGTGGCAGAGAGCAAGTGCGACCCACTCGATCCACGAAATGGGGAAGTCGGGTCGAGCTTGTGTAAAGTGACTCTTGCTATTGGCTGCCAACCCCGGGCTTCCGCCGTCTTATCTTATCGCACCAACGGGGACCCCTGCCGCTTGGCCGCAGCTCTGAAATTTTTCTGGTTCAGTAGAGTTCAGATGTTCAGTTGTCCAGAGGCCAGAAAGAAAAAAAATCCCAGGCCCCCCCCCCCCGCCAATTCCTCACCAGGTGAAGACAAGCGACGAACGAGCGACCTCGAGCTCGACCTTTTCCTTCTCTTCCCGGAGAGAAAAACGACAAGAGTCACCCGAAACCCATATTGTCCCCTCAGGTTCAGACCCAGCGTCTACATTCTTTCATCATGGCGAGCGACAGCGTTATCTGGGAGATCATCAACACGCAGTTCTGTGCTTTCAAGATTCAGTACGTGCTTCTGCTCTCTCCTCTGTCCTCTCTCTCCTCTGTCCTCTCTCTCCTCGAGGCTGGCCTTTTTGCGACGCTAACGCCATGTGTGCAGCACCGACAAGAAGCAGACGTTCTGCCGGAATGAGATGAACGTGACGGGCTTCTGCAACAGGCAGTCGTGCCCGCTCGCCAACTCGCGGTACGCCACGGTGCGGCGGCACCCGACCAAGGACACGCTCTACCTCTACATGAAGACGATCGAGCGGGCCCACACGCCGTCGCGGCTCTGGGAGAAGATCAAGCTGCCGACCAACTACGCCAAGGCGCTCGAGGAGATTGACAAGCGGCTCATCTACTGGCCCAACTTTATGATCCACAAGTGCAAGCAGCGCCTGACGCGGCTGACGCAGGTCAACATCCGCATGCGCAAGATCGCCGCCGAGGAGGCCCGCCTCGGCGAGAAGCTCGTGCCCAAGCTGCCCAACAAGGTGCGGAACCGCGAGGAGGCCCGCGAGCGCAAGGCCGAGGCCGCCGCCAAGCTCGAGCGCACCATTGAGAGGGAGCTCGTCGAGAGGTTACGCTCCGGCGCCTACGGCGACCAGCCCCTCAACGTCAGCGAGTCCATCTGGAAGCGCGTCCTCGGCGCCATGGAGAAGGACGGCCAGGCCAAGAGGGACAAGGACCTGGACACGGGCATCGAGTCGGAGGACGAGGACGAGGACGAGTTGGACAGCCAGGCCGAGTCGGAGGACGACCTCGAGAAGGAGGTTGAGTACGTGTCCGACATTGAGGAGAGCGAGGACGAGGGTCTCGAGGATATCCAGGACTGGCTCGGCAGCGACGCCGACGAGGATGACGAGGACGACGAGGACGACGAGGACTCGGACGACAGCGACGCCGGCAAGAAGAAGTCGGGCGACAAGCGCAAGCGTGGCCGCGCCGTCAAGCTCAACAACAAGCGTCTCAAGCAGAGGGTCGCTGACCGGCCCAAGGTGGCCGAGGAGCTCACCTGGTGAGGAGGCCTTGTGCGGGGCGGTTGAAAACGTTGTTCAAACGAGCGGATTTCGGGTTTCGGGTGTCACGAGGTTTTTTTGTCTCCATCATCGTCATCATCATAGCAATGTCACATTATACCCATGGACTCTGTTGTGACGTGATTGTCAGTGTCTCTCTCAACTATCACCTGTCAGGTCTCGCCCACGACTCTGTCAGGATACTCCGTTAGTCGCAGATCGGATAAATGCATGGCGACATAATGCAGTGAAGGTGGTGGGGTCCAGTGAATGGTGGGGCACAGCTCTGGTCAACGACACTGGCCGCACCTGCCTTGGCCGCCGCTCCTTTGATCATGTTCCATGCCCCCCCCCAAGTTGAAACCTCCTCCAAGCACGAACCCACCTCCGACCAAACGATCCGACCACCTACGACAAATTGCCCTCTCCAAGTCAAGTCCGACTTCTCTGCAGTCCATCTCTACAACCGAACCAGGGCAATCCGCAGCATTCCACACGACACTCGCCAATCGAGCACCCGAAAAGCAAATCGTAGAACCCTCCGCCTCCTCCCCAGCACCCCGCAGCATCGCAACGCCGCAACAATCGCCTGAACAAGGAGCCTGAACACTACAAAGCAAGCCTAGGTCGGCAAAGGGGAGCCCGAAAGCACGAGAGCACAGTTTTCCTCCTGTCTCTCTCTCTCTTTCTCTCTCTCTTTCCCTCTCTCGCCTCTCACCCCACGCAGAGCAGCCCACCATGGCCTCGTGGTACAAGAACATACTCACAAACACAACGTCGCAGCTCTCGAGCCTGCAGTCGCGGCTCCTGCAGACGGAGAACGACGGCGACACGGAGGACGACACGCACGTCTGCCGCGTGCTCCGCGCCTACTACACCCAGGAGCAGCGGCCCTTTCCCGGCTGGCTGCCGCCGGATCCCAAGGCCCCGCCGCCCGTGGCCCCCGTCTACGCCTCGACCCAGCCCCAGGTCGGCGCGCGCTACGGTGCCGCCGCGTCGGGCGGCGGCGGTCAGCTCGGCGGCGTCCCGGCGTCGGGATCGCTGAGCTCGCTGTGGGATAGGAACCCGGCGCAGCAGGGGCAGAACGCGCCGCAGAGCCTGCGGCAGGGGCGGGGAGGCGGCGGGCAGCAGAGGGTGAGCCCGTTCGCTCAGGGTGGCGGCGGCGGCGGCGGCGGCGACGACAGGCCCGGCACCGGGGGTAGGGCCGGGAGCTACCAGTCTGGCAGCGTGTACTCGCAGGGATCGACAAGCGCGCCGGCGCCGGCGGCTGCGGGTGGAGGTTCGGCGCAGGACAGGTTGAAGCAGAGGCTTTGGGGCGGCGGCGCGAGGACGACGAGCCCGGCGGGGTCGCAGGGGCCCTACCAACCGCCGAGCTCGGGAGGCGGCAGTCATGGCGGTGACTACGAGGAGAGGTTTGCGCCGGGTGGCCAGTATGATGGGAGGGGAGGCGGCGACAGGTCATACACAGGGTCGAACACGCCGTGGTCCAACAATGAGCCAGCATACGGCGGCAGCGGGGGAGGAGGCGGCAGGCCGGCACAGGGATTGCCCAGCGGGCCAAGACGACAGGGACTTCCCAGCGGGCCGCGCATGAGGTGAGGGGAAGGTCAGGAGTGGGAGCAAAGTGTGCAAAGGATACCAGAAGGCAGCATGTTAGGAAAGGAAGCATCAAAAGGGACGCCTCGTGCAATCAAACCATTTCTTTACTTGGACCGAAGCCCATCAGCTCGGCAGATGGATAGCACAATGTGTCTCGACGACCATGCCGCGACGAGGTGTGCTTGTACCCGCGGTACTCTCTGCACGGCAAGCATGGACACGGACAGCAACGGTCAAAAAGTTGTCCAGATCGGTTGATCTGCTACTGCTGGGGTGAGCCGGGATCGAACCAGCGACCTTTAGATTGGATTCCCGAAGTTGGCTTCAGTCTAACGCGCTCCCAACTGCGCCATCCCCCCTGTGGATGCTTCTCGGCCGCGGGGCATCGTGTCATGGGGACGTGGAGAGACGGAGGAGAGGAGGGGAGCTTTGAAGAAAAAAAATGTGCCCCTCCATGGTGGATCTTGTAAGGGACTGTTCGTCGGAGCGGAGTGTATGTAAGTGCTTGTTTGCGAGGTCCAAAAGGCAAAACAATTGGGGTGAGCCGGGATCGAACCAGCGACCTTTAGATTGACTTCCTGAAGTTGACTTCAGTCTAACGCGCTCCCAACTGCGCCATCCCCCCAATGGATAATTTCCGAGACGATGAGCAGAATCATGACAACCGCTTGCAGCAAAACCCCTTATTTTTCCTTGCTGTTGAGTCTGTTCACTGGGTGATGCTAAGTTGACTTTTTTCAATGAAGCGTTGCACTGATGCGAGTCCTCATAACGTACAGTCTTGATGGTTCTCTCCTTGTCAATCGCAAGCTCATTGACAAGAAGCATGTCTCGTGTGTGCATCAGGGCCCAAGCCAGACCTCAGCGTTCCTTCACAAGCTCGAGGAGAGAAAGTACAGGCAAATCACTCTGTAGTCACAACGTGTCCATTAGTTTAGCTCGTTCTGCTGCAGCTGACGCATCCCGACACGATTAGGTCTCGAGAAGAGGCGCATCGCTCGCCTCCCAAGGGTGGTCCTTCTCCGCGCGCCGAATGAGATGGACGTGCGCCGCGCTCCTCGGCGTGATCTTGAAGGGGAACTCAGCAGGGTAGCACAGGATGCCTGGCATCGGCTTGGCGTCGATACCCACAGACTCCCCCATCGAGTCTGTGACGGCGCTCACGTCAAATACCGCCAAGGACTGGACGACGTTGATGAAGACACCTGAGTCGGCGATGAACCGGCCAGGGCATATTCTGCGTCCGTACCCAAACACGTCGGACGTGGGGTCTGGCTCGTCTCGCGGGCTCAGAAAGCGCTCGGGCTCAAACGAGTGCGGGTCCCGGTAGACGTTCGGGTCATGGAGGAACCCCCACACAGCCGGGAGGAGGATGGCGTTCTTGGGGATGCGGTACCCGTTGTACTCGAGCTCCTCGTTGGCCGTGTGAGGGAATCCCATGGGGGCAATAGGCCACCATCTCAGCGTCTCATTGATGACTGCGTTGATGTAGGGAAGGCTGTCCCGGTCCTCAAAGTTGGGAAGACGATCGGTGCCTATGACGCGGTCGATTTCTTCCTGGGCTTTGCGTTGAATATCGGGGAACTTTGCCATGGCCAGGGTGAAGGCCGTCAGGCTGATGACGGTGGTGTCCGCGGCGCCGCCGTATAGACTCGCGGCCGACCACAGGATGGCCTCCTCGTCATCTTGGCACAGGGTGCTCGTGTCGTTGTTTTTGCACTGTTGCACGAGCTTCGACACGTACGAAGGCTTTTGCGAATCGGCGTCCATCTGGCGCTGGACGAATCGATACGGCACCCAGCCGGCGTCCTGGATGGATGTGCGCCACTTGCGCGCCGTCTTCTTGAAGGTGACGCCGGGCGTGTTCTCGGGGATGTATCGGAGCAGAGGAATCGTATCGACCGGCCAGGCCATGGGCACAGTCGCCAAGGAGAACTCTGTGGTCATCTTGTCGACGAGGCTGACGAGCACGTCGGGCTCGTGCGGCTCGACAATGTAGCCATAGGCCATCTTGAGGATGGTCGCCGCAGTCGTGCTGGATCTTGGTCAGACATGCACATTTATGTCTCGCCAACGTCGTTCGAACTCACATCTTGAAGTGCTGCAGCCACTTCTCCGGCTCCTTCAGCGCACGCACGAGCTGGCGGTTCACCTCGAGCTCCTGGGCCTGGTGATACTGTGCTGCCGCAGCCTTGGTGCCGAGTTCTCGGTGCATGAGCTTGCGGTACCTGCGGAAGACCTCGGTGTTGCCCTGGCTGATGACTGTCTTGTCGTAGCCGCAGAACTCATTGGCAAAGACCATGCTCGGCCGACCGGAGGTCTTGCCGGCGAACTTCTCGAGGAGGTCATGAGCCATCTGCTGGTCATTGATGAGAATGAGAGTCTTGCCAAGCACGGTCACGGAGCTGATGGGGCCATAGAGGCCCTTGTGCTTGACCCAGTGCTGGTACTCGGCCATATCGGCGGGAGGAAAGTCGTTCACATTGCCAACAAGGGGGAGCGGTTTGGGACCTGGTGGTAGGGGCAGCCGGCGTCTCTCGTTGAAGTATTGGTAAACAAGGTAGCTGAGTAGCGCCCCGGCAGCCCACGGCAGTAGAAGTGATGCTGCCATGATGTTGGTCTGGCAGCTGGTCCACGTGTAGCGGAGGGGGGACAGGGTCAGCAGCAAGGCAGGTGAAGCTCAGAACGAGAGAGAAGAGGAAGACGAAGATAAAGCGGACGAGCACAACAACGAGGTCTGCAGCAACGGACACAGAGTCTATATCAGGCAAACAATCGGCATAATCACCGATGTCATGATTGGCCGCTCATATCTCGTGCAGGCGGCGGTCAGCCGCGTCGAGGAGCGTCTTCCGTGCCGTGGGTTCGTGATGTGCCGACTTGGCGACCTCGGTGGGGTTGAGTGCTACCTGTGTGCAGATCACGACTGGTGGTCTCCATCGCGCGAAGGCACCGTATGTGGGCGAAAGGAAGTCATTGGATGTTGAATGCACCGTGGATATCTTGCTGCATGAAAAGGGCCATCCATATGCATCGTTCGCTGTTGCCGCGGCTTGCATTGCATAGCCGTGCAAGTGAGTGATGGACATACATGCGGGCCGCCGGGCTTCTTGGTGGAACGATGAGAGTGTGATGGCGTTTCGTAGGGAAAGCCATTGGCTGCTGTCGACATGTTATTTGACGTCGACGTGCTGCCATCCAGTAGGGTCGGATTGAAGGTGGAAGGGATGGTGTTGAGGTGAGACCTACGAGCGTAGATACTTCACAGGGCAGGGTACCTCAAGCTCCAGCCACAGATGCTCGGTACCTACCCAAGGTAAGGGAGGGGGGTACCTAAGGTGGGCAGGCACCTGGAGGCATCGCGTGAAGTGACGAGGCGAGAGGCGAGGCCCGGGTGACGTAGGCGGAACGCGCCAGCTATAGCAGGCGGCCGACGCTTTCAGCGGGCGACCCCACCATCACCATCGCTGCAGCCTGGTGACCTCGCCCATCCCATTAGTCGCCCCCCCCCCGCCGTCCACCTACACTCCATGTCCGCGTGAACCCCATCCGGTGCATCATGCGTGCTGGACCAAGATTTCCCTTCTTGCACTCGAGTCTCCCTCTCGTGTAAGCCTTTCCTTCCTCAAGCAGCTTCAGCCTGCGCTTCATCTCATCTCTCCGTCTGCTCTACTACCACACACCCGCCGACCGTCACGGCCAGACACGGCTGCACGATGACCTCAGACACCCCGCCCTCCTCAGCAGGGGCCTCTCGCGATGCAGCTCCCGCCAGACCACAGAGAAGCTCGTCGCCATCGGGCAGCTACTATGCCTTGAGCGACGACGACGAGGGTGAGTACAACACCATCACACACACCGAGACGGGACGTGGTGTGAAGCTGCTCTTTTCCAAGAGCAAGGTGCGTGACCTGCTGCTCCTTGCGAATTGCTTTCCTTGCGAGTTGCTTTCCTTGCGAGTTGCTTTCCTTGCGAGTTGCTTTCCTTGCGAGTTGCTTTCCTTGCGAGTTGCTTTCCTTGCGAGTTGCTATCCTTGCGAATACGCTTTCCTTGCCCCTCATCGTCTAACCCACCACGCCACCCCAGGTCTACGTCCACCCAACCCCGTCTGCCAAAGACAACATCCCAGGCTACATCGCTCTGCTCCAGCAAAAAGGTCACCGAAATGGCCGGCCCCTTTCCTCCTCATCGCTCGAGCCCGGCTCCGTCGCCTCGTCAGATCTCCTCCTCGCCTGGCTGCCCGAAACATCGCTGGGCGCTTCCGAAAGCATCTACGTCAAGGTCGACCTCAGCGACGCCGAGTCGCCCCCCAAGCAATCCTACCTCGTGCCCCCACCGCCCACCGTCACCGCCCACCAGGGCTCCATCGGCCACTACGCCTTCGCCATCCCCGTCAGCGCCATCTATTCACTGCTCGTCCGCCCCCCGAGCCTGGGCTGGTGGTACGGCTCCCTGATCATCAACTCGAGGGCCGGCGACAGCTTCCCCGCCCTGTTCTTCCACGATGGCGAATGCCAGAGCACCATCCTCAAGAGGAAGCAGCGCGCGCGCGAGAACTTTGATCCCTTTGGCGACAAGGGCGAGATGTTCTGGGGTGGCGACGAGGTCCTGCGCTGGCTGCGACGATATATCGACATTCAACGGTCCGAGGCCGAGCCCAACATCTACCTCGTCGAGCCGAGCAAGGAAGACAGCGAGGCCTTTGGCGGCAAGCTGACGTCCAGTCAGACACAAATTGGGCGCAAGGACAGCACCACGGGCATGAACGTCCAGGGTGCTGCCGGCGCAGGATCGTCACGGGGCGCGGGACCCGATGCCCAGATGGATCCGTTTGTCAAGTTTGTCAAGGAGACTGGCTGGAACATTATGGAAAAGTTCAGCAAGGTCACGACCATGACACGCCGCGCCGCCCAAGACGCCATCCAGAACCCCAACGTCCCTCCACAGATGAGGCGGCTGCTGAGAAACCCCGAGGTGCAAACCATCCAGGAGGAGTTTGACAGCGCGAGGATCTACCTGGCTAGGTGGGCCATGGGCATTGCCGAACAGAGTGAGCGTGATCGCCGACAGAGGATCTGGACCGCGAAGGACGTGCTGGAGCTCGAAGATACAGACGTCGGCGAGTTTGAGCTGCTGGATGGTACGAGCGGCCTGTCGATGGAGGAGCGCAGGAAGCCCGTCACGGCCAAGGAGTGGAGTACCTTTTTCGACGCGCGCACGGGGCGGTTGACCGTGACTGTCGATGAGGTCAAGGAGCGCATCTTCCACGGAGGTCTCGATCCGGACGACGGCGTGCGCAAGGAGGCTTGGCTGTTCCTTCTGGGTGTGTACGACTGGCACAGCACTGCCGATGAGCGCAAGGTCCAGATCAACTCGCTCAGGGATGCCTTTGTCAAGCTCAAGGGAGCCTGGTGGGAGAGGCTCGTGGATCTCGGCGGTGAAGGAGAGGAGGGCGAGTGGTGGCGCGAGCAGAAGGGCCGTATCGGTCAGTACACCACAGCGACGCAGAATCCAACGTTCGTGCTAACAGACACCACAGAGAAAGACGTTCACCGTACGGACCGCAACGTCCCCATTTTTGCAGGGGAAGACATCCCCCATCCAGACCCTGACTCTCCCTTCGCCGAGGTCGGCACCAACGTTCACCTCGAACAGCTGAAGGACATGCTCCTCACCTACAACGAGTACAACAAGGATCTCGGCTACGTCCAGGGCATGTCTGACCTGCTGGCGCCCATCTACGCCGTTATGCAGGACGATGCCATTGCGTTCTGGGGCTTCCAGCACTTCATGGACCGCATGGAGCGCAACTTCCTCCGCGACCAGTCCGGTATGCGCAACCAGCTCCTGGCCCTCGACCATCTCGTCCAGTTCATGGACCCCAAGCTGTACAAGCACCTCCAGTCTGCCGACAGCACCAATTTTTTCTTCTTCTTCCGCATGCTGCTCGTGTGGTACAAGCGCGAGTTCGCCTGGATGGACACGCTGCACCTCTGGGAGGTCCTGTGGACAGACTACCTCAGCAGCAGCTTCCACCTCTTCGTCGCGCTCGCCATCCTCGAGAAGCACAGGGATGTCATCATGACGCATCTGCAGCACTTTGACGAGGTGCTCAAGTATGGTATGGTTGAGATTCTTGCCCCCTTTGCCCAAAGCAAAAAAAAAAAAGAAAAAAAAAGAAAGTCTAACGCACGCCAGTCAACGAACTCTCCAACACAATGGACCTCGACTCGACCCTCATCCGCGCCGAGGCCCTCTTCCGCCGCTTCAAACGCCTCGTCGAAGCCGTCGACAAGAAGGGCAACTTCCCGCCACCCCGCCTGCAGAGCCCCGACGAGGTCATCCAGAGCCCCGACGCCGCCAGGGTACGGCCCGCCAGCGCCAGCCCGCCAGAGGACGCTTCGACTTCGGCCTCGGCCTCGGCCACACCCTCGACGCCGAGTGCTGCCGCCGCCGCCGCCGCCAAGGGTAAGAGTCCCGCCGCCAAGACGGACGAGCCGGACGAGGACGAGGAGCGGCCCAAGATCATCACGCCGGAGCTGCGGCAGCTTCTGAGCCGCAAGGTCGAGGTGCTGCCGCGGAAGACGGTCGCGAACCTCGGCGACGGGCTGCCTGCGGAGAAGAGGACGTAGCACCTCGCGCACGGGGGGTCGGCGTGACGCATGTTTGGACTGGCATAGAGCGTAACGACAAGGCAGGACGAGAAATCGGGATTGGGTTTGGACAGATTCGGCGCACTCGACAGGCCGCTGTCGCGGGCGTTCTGGTTCGCGGGTTCGGCAAGGGGAACGTCGCAAAACGAAAACGAGGCAAAGCGGGTGTTTACTTCGTACCGTGTACTACAAACAGGATTGATTTTTTGTCTTTTCCGCAGTGCTACCACAGCAAGAGGCATCTTCCCATACGCGAGGGACGTTCATGGCCTGACAGGCTAACAGGCTAACAGGCTCCTCTCTTTTCACGTGATGAATGCGTCCAGACGAAAAATCCAGTTCATGCCGAGTAGAAATTGATTGCTATGCACTGACCAGAGGTCATTCATACACGCAGTGCTGAACCGCAAGTGTAAACTCTATAATGCCCTTCTCTCGCTCCCGTTCTTCTTCTCCTTGACATACGCTAATGATGACCCTCACCGACGGAATCGCCCCAAACGCCTTCGTCGCGCCCAGCCCCGGACGGACCGCCTCCGAGCGGACGACGTTAATGCAGACCTCTAATCGAAGGGGTTATATCTATGCTGTCTTCCCGTCTCGCTGTACGGCGGCGGCGGGAGCCGCTGCTGCTGCTGCAGCTGCGGCTGCGGCTGCTGCGGTGCTCCGTGAGGCGGAGCCGGTGCCGCCGCAAGCCGTGATGACGAGGACGTCACAGACGCAGCAGAGGGGGCGCGAGCGAGGGCCGACGCGGCGGGAAGGGGTTTGGCAGACCATTGGGCCGTCTTGGCGACCATTTTGGCAAAGTACTGCTGGATGAAGGATTCGCTATGCACGGTGAGCCGTTGTTTCACGTCAGCGGAGGCAGAAAGGGAGCAACACATACGTGTAGTAACTGTGGTCCGAGTCGTGGCTCTGGACCAGGTTGTGCGCCAGCTCGTGCGCCATGACGACCCAC